CACAAAATAAATATATTTTTACTTTTACAATAAAAAGCATTTAATAATAAATTTGCTTCATAATATAAGGGAAAATATTATGAATAAAGATTGGAGCCGTTTACTCAAATGAGTGTCTCATTTCCTATGAAATATGAGAAAAATTAATACTTTCCTGGCAAAATCATATATTGCTAATAAAATTGTATATCATAAAAAATATTTAAAATAAACAAAAGATAAGAAAACATAAGAATCAATTAAATAAAATTTCAAAAACAGGAAAAGAAAACCTAATAGCGAAGAAGATTCCAACAGATATTATAAATTTCCAAGGAAGATCTGCAAAATCAATTAAAGGAAGCATTATGAAATATTATAATTTATAAAGTGACAATTATAGATTAGATTGACTAAACAGTTTTTTAAATTTTACTGATTGTTATGAATGTCGCTAATTTGAACTTATAACTCATATTATTCTAAACATTATTTGGCATAACCCTAGTAATCTATCAAATTTCCTTACGTACGTAGGAATTAGTGCAGTGGGTGGGGAGGGGGGGGGGATTAAATTTTTTCATAAAGATTATTTCAAGAGCATTTAAGAATATATTAAGTTACATAGATTTATTAAGCCTAGTGACTTAGAAATTTTTAATAACAAATTCAAATATAAATTAATTTTAAATATTAAATGTATAATGTATAGGCGTATTCATAAACTAAACATCTCGAAAAAGAACTTTGTAAAAGAAGTATTAATTTTTTAAACATTTGAAATTTGATATACAAATTACAAAAATATTCTTAAGAATTATTGCATATATATAAATTTACAAAAAAAAATAGGGTTTATCAAATAATGGGGAAAAATATAATTAAGGAACGTATTAACAATTTATAATTAAAATTTTAATATCCTTTGGAATTGAGCTAATAATTTCAGCAGTGCACCCCCATGTCTAATAAGAAAGGCTAACATTCTTTCAATCTATGTAGTGCTTCTCCTTATGCTGTTAACGGCTCGATGATTTAGCAGATTTTTAAAAACAGCCACTTTAATATATTATCCAGAAAAATATTTTTTATATGTTATATTATAGGAATTAATAAATTAAAATATTATATATTTGGTTATTAAATAGTAATATGTTTAAATTTTATGTAACGCGCATTCATTAACTATTTAACCCTGAATTCATAGTGAGAGCGATTGCGATCGCGATTTAAGCCGCGATTTCGCAGCGACTGATCAGCTGGATCGATCGCAGCGATTTACATTCATAGTGCTAAGCGATTATATTAATTCACAAAATGAGAGCCGCCATATTATTTATCTTATACAAAATAATATTGAAGAGGAGGAGATTAAATAATCTTAATATTAATAAAAGAAAGCATAAAAACATGCACATTACTACATAATATAATTATTGATAAGGAAAGATTTATTTCTTTTAATCCTAAAATAAAATCACCCCCTGAAAATTTATTTAAACCACAATCAATTAAATCAGCAACAAATATTGCAAAGTTTAATAGAAATTTATTATGCTTATATTTATATAAAAATCCCATATTATAGATATTTATTTTGTATTTTATATAAAAATCTTGTTTTATATTTTATATAAATATCTTGTTTTGTATTTTATATATATTATAATAAAAATAAAGTTATTATTAATATAGTCTAAACTCATTAAATATATTTGTAGGAATATGTCACTAAAAAAGTTATATAGATGTTCTAAATTCATCTATTTAAAATATTTTTATAAAGCAAATAAACATAAATTACCAGTGTCATTAAACTTTCTCTTAGGACATTTATAATATTAACTACCAGATTCAACAGAAGATCCTTCATTATAAATAATATATTTTTAGATATTATTGATTACCAAACTCACAAGCTTAATTAATGTAGGACTGTTGGGAATAATTATATCATTCAATGTATTTCACAAAATATTTATTTCAAATAATATAAATACATAAAAAATGTCTATTTCAAATAACATAAATATATACAAAATAATTTTATTCAATTAAAATCTTTTATAACATTAAATATTCTAGTTGTTAATTCTTTTTTTTCCTGTTTTGTATAATCATCTAATTTTTCTTTCAACATTAGACATATTCCATATTCAGTTGATTTATTTTTAAGCAATTCCAATGTTAATAATGATTTTTCTTTTTCAAATTTAATTAGGTCCCTATATTCATCTATTTAAAAGTTATCAAAAAATTAAAAAATATAAATTACCCATATTATTATTCTTTCTCTTAGGATTTTTATAATAAGAACTAGATGCAACACTGGGTATAGATTCTTAAATATAAATAATATAAGTTTTTAGAGAATATTAATTACCAGAATCATTAAGATTTAGTGTTACAGAACCTTTATTAATAACTGTAACATCTGATGTATTGTCATAAATATATTTTCAATTAAAATGCTATATTTTACAATCATTCTCCCCTATCATTTCATTAAAAATATCACGAACCTTTATTTTAAATTTAGTGCTAAATAAAATTTTGAGCTAAATTCACCAAAATCTGTATTTAACGAAGCACTATTTCAAAATCTCGCGATAAATACAAAATGATTTGTGTTTTGAAAAAATCGCGGCGACTAGCTTTTGCGACTCAATCGCGCGATCGGTAACTATGAATGCGATATGATATTTACTATATTTTGTATTTATCGCGGCTAAATCGCAATCGCCCCACTATGAATTCAGGGTAAGGCGGCCGTGACTGCATATAACACCTGTGATATTTAGTGAAAAAACTAAACATAACACCTGTGATATTTAGTGAAAAAACTAAACATAAAACCTGCTATATTTTTTTAGTGAATAAATTAAATATCACACCTGCTATATTTTAATTTTTTAATACACTTCGTATATTTAAAATATTAAAGGATGTTTTTAATTCTTCCAATTTTTATTAAATATAATCTTTATTTACTTGAGCTATTAAGGTAATATTTTATATTAATAATCTAAATATTACTGTAGATCCCTATAAGTATTTTTATTGAAGTCTTAAGGAGTAATAATGAAGAGGAATATAAGATGAACTTAGCCATATTTTCAAATATCAATATCATTAAAAAATTTTTTAGCTGAATTCTGAAAATATAACGATGACATAAATTTAGGAATCTGGTAAGAATTAGGAAATAACTAATATAACGTAAAGATACACCTTTTTTAAAGGTTACAATGACATTCAAGAAGACCTACTTAATAACCAAAGCTTAATATACACAACACAATCCCTTATAGCAAACAATTCAAATTTACAAACTGCTCATTAAAAAATATGAATATGGGTTTATAAATAGTTTATATATGAATATAAATACTTTGATATGTATATGGGTTTATCAAAGCTATATGAATAAATACTTTTTTGATTATGCCCATTAATTGTAACCATATTTAATATGAAAAATATAAATAAAGACTCCTAAAAATATACTCACAAGTTTTATATGGTACAATTTTTTAATGTATTTTGACATAAAATTTATTTTTAGTTTTATAATCTGCAAATTAAAAAATAATTTGAACCCAATTTTTTTTTAAAACACCCTAATATTTAATCAAAAAATATTAATTTATAAAATTTTAATTGCCTTGTCCTAATCTCAGACTCATATTTTTTTTAATAAATAAGAATTAAAAACATTTTTTTATATTTATCTGGTTTCTTAAATTATAAGCCTCCTACAACTACAACTTTTAAGGCATTAATCTTTTTTGTTCAAATTTTATTTATTATACATGGATAAATACTGATATTTGTATTTAATAACTATGACCAATAGTCAAATTTTCTAATATTTAATATTATATTGTTCTAACTGACAAGAAAATTATTCTTTACCTTTCATAAAATAATTTAAAATGATAAATACAGGAAAAAAATACTTAATCCTTTATAGCATAGAGGGGTGAGGGGCTATACATACTCTAGTTGTATAAAAAAATATTATTATCTATTTTTTTGTATAAATTTTAGCTTAATATTTGTAGGTAAAGTGTATATCTGCAAAATAATTTTTAATTTTGTTTGATTATTCAGCATTTATAGTGGTGTAGCTTGGGATTGCATAGACCCCACCTAATTATGCCTATTATGTTGGTTTTCCACCTGATATTAAGATTTAAGCAATTATTTTTTTTAAATAAATTGGTTGATTGACTAATACTTGTATAAATAAATAATATATTATTTACATGATAGGTTACAAATATACTTTTATGCACAAATACAATTAGTTGACTAGATAATACTTTTTATTTAAATATAAAAAATGCCTCAGGCATATATATTTATAAATGATTTGATAATATATTATTTACAGGATAAAACTATACTATAATGATAATTTAAATTTCTTATATAGATACAACCAATAAATTTATTTATTTCAGGAATTAAATAATGGATGAAATAAAAGCCATTTGTCATTATAAAAAACGAAGATGTTTGTTTGAAGCAATGTAGCTGCACAGGAAATCTCAATATCTGTGGCCCACGTGCCATTGCAACCCATTTTGTTTTTCACAATGTAATCCATTGTGTTATCCCCTATGAATCCGCTAAAGAAATTTATATGTTTTTCTTGAACCATAAAGGATATCATAACACTCCTGATTATTTGATGATATTGCTCATCATTACTGATTTCCTTGCTAAGACATCTAAAATAATATTTAGAATTATAAGTTGTTATTAATAAAATACCTGAAAAAACAGTTTCCATCACCTATAATTGGATCAACCTTATCAGGATCCCCCAAGCTTAATGATTTCTGATTTTGAGTATTTTGCGACACAATCAAAGTCATGCCTAACTTATCAGAATGATATTTTTCCCATTCTGATGTTGTAGGCTGGAAAACAAATGGAATCTTGAGAGGTTGATAATTATGAACAAGTTTATTCACTAAAATAAATTATATATTTTAAACTAAAAAATGGAATACGTGTATTTCCCCTCTGTTGCTTATTAGAAGAATATGGACCTTTTTTAATAAATAAAATGTATAGTAACTAGTGTATATTACAACCTACCAAAAGCAAATTTTAAAGTTAGGGGTTCAGTGCTTGTACCTTTTGTCATATCCAGTCCCATATTGTTTGGTATATTATTACCTAAAATATAAAATTTACTTATATAAATGTAATTTTGTTACTTGAGGACAACAAAATCGGGCCTGACATAGCATTTTTAGCAAGAGTATTGCAAGGTTGTGACTTGAACCCCATTTTATTTGGTATTATATTATTACCTTAAATATAAAATTTACTTATATAAATGTAATTTTGTTACTTGAGGACAACAAAATCGGGCTAACATAGCATTTTTAGCAAGAGTATTGCAAGGTTCTGACTTGAACCCCATTTTATTTGGTATTATATTATTACCTTAAATATAAAATTTACTTATATAAATGTAATTTTGTTACTTGAGGACAACAAAAACGGGCCTGACATAGCATTTTTAGCAAGAGTATTGCAAGGTTGTGACTTGAACCCCATTTTATTTGGTATTATATTATTACCTTAAATATAAAATTTACTTATATAAATGTAATTTTGTTACTTAAGGACAACAAAATCGGGCCTGACATAGCATTTTTAGCAAGAGTATTGCAAGGTTGTGACTTGAACCCCATTTTATTTGGTATTATATTATTACCTTAAATATAAAATTTACTTATATAAATGTAATTTTGTTACTTGAGGACAACAAAATCGGGCCTGACATAGCATTTTTAGCAAGAGTATTGCAAGGTTGTGACTTGAACCCCATTTTATTTGGTATTATATTATTACCTTAAATATAAAATTAACTTAAATAAATGTAATTTTGTTACTTGAGGACAACATCGTGCTGGAGATAGCATTTTTAATAAGAGGATTATTATGTTGAGATTTGTCTAGATTTATTAAATTATTTTATATAAGATGTAATTTTGTTACTTGCTGAAAACTTCCTCTGTTTCCTCGAAAGGCCTATCACTGATAAGTCGGATTGCCTATACCTACCTCTTTTTTTCATTTTGAGAGGCATTTTCATACTTTTTAGCCTCTTCAAAGTTTTGTCATTATCTTTGATTTCAGTCTCAGTCATAATTGTAGTTTTTATGACTGGAATCATTACATTTGTATCTATATTTAATATTAAAAAATTATTTTACAAAAAATAACAATACCTTGTTGACTGTTAATAAATTTGGGCATAACTATTGGATTTGGAAAAATCATTTGATCCACTTCCAAAACATCAAAATATTTTCCTCCTTGGACAATATCTTCAAGTTTTTTTAATTTTTCAAGAAATATATCAAAGATTTCTTGAGGAAGGTGTGACATTAACCCTGAAAAGGGCAGCAATATTCTTTGTACCTTTTTAAATTTATCATTGATAGATAAATTTTTTGTTAAAGGAATAGTATCATGTTTTGAGATATTTAGGTATGATTGTGATGTGTTTACTGGTGGCATTAATAATGTGTTGCGTATATTTTTTAGTCCATCTCTCACCACAAAGATGACTAAGATAAATGTCGAATTTTGATGTAGCATGAAGTGCTAATATATGGCGACAAGGAAGCTTGATACATTTCAAAAATCCACAGGTACAAGAATCCAATGTTACCTTAAATTCAACACCTTTTTCGCAGATGAATCCTTGGTTTAAAATAGTATCCATATTGAATATTTGAATTTGATTATGTAGCAAAATTTCGTTTAAAACAATCTTGAAAGCATATGGGGTTAAAAGAGTGGAGTATGCATGCTCTGGGGTATATGATGCGTATGTTACAATCTGTTGCCTCTCTACACTCATTATATTTCTAAATTGCCTTTCATATGCCTGGGAACCAACCACTGTTGATAAATCTGAAAAAAGGTCGTTTAATGGTGAATATTTGTTAACGACTCTTTTTATCTTTTGATTTAATGATTCAAGCCGGTTATTGGTTAGATTGAGGAGATGTGGTGACTCATTTCTCCAGTATATCACCCATTCTTTCCGGATATGGTGCCAATTAATATTAAAATATAATGACACTAGAGGCATGTCTAATTCAATAAGTTTTGAATATAGATCATTGTATATATCCTCTGTCTTGCTATAGACCATTTTTTGTAATATATCCAGTACTATCTTAACCTCAGATAAGGTGATATTTCTTTTATCCACTGTAATTTCTCTCTTAAATATTCTAAGAGCATGAAATATACAGATATGTATGCTCACCCCAGGAAAACTATCATAAAAGGCATGTCTATCTGCCATATCTTTATCTGCAACAATAACCTCCAGATCTTCCAAGTTATTATTATGGAATTTCATATAATCACACATCGTTTTGACACACTTATAGCTCTCACTTTGTACAAACCAAAGTGATACGATTTGTGACTCACCATTACCATCAACAACCAAAGTGATGAATAAAGGCATTCCATAATTATTTAATTTGTAGGTAGCATCTACAAACATAACTTCAGGAAATCTTTTTAGATTTTGTTGCATTATCCTGTCCTGAAAGAAAATACCTAGCAATACATCATTTTCTTCAGCAACCTCAACAATGGCTCCTTTATCTCTTTTTAATAGTTCAAAAATACTTGCTAAGTCATTGGTCTTGGTTTTATTAATTTTTGTCTGGACATTATGTATATCTTTAAGTGTCATTTTTTTACCCATTTTCAGAAGAGATTCCTGAATTTTTAGCTTGTTTGCCTTTAGTTTTAACGAATTTTCAACTATTTGCCTTTCCTCCACAGAAAGCATTCTTTGTTTAGGTAAGGATTGGAAAGTAATACTATCTATTTATATGAGTTATATTAATTTATTATAATGTATAATAATACTTAAATCATGATTACAGTGCTCATCAACCATGGTCACAATTTCTAAGTAATGTCCAGTGTCCTTATGTTTAAGGTATAATGTAAATTTAAAGGAACACTTCTTGCGAAATGTTGAGGAATTTCTGATACCCTTGGAGTTGCTTTTTTGAATTGTGCCACCATATTTGCAAGAATAATAAACTTTTCGATATTTAAAAAGATTAATAACGTCTACAGGATATGGTGCTTTTAGTAGATAGGACCTTGCTATATAGACATTTACAAAATTAGAATTCTCAAATTCTTCAATAGTCCTAGATAATGAAGCATATGAAGAAAATATCGCTCCAAGATGTAGCATCTATAAATATGTTTTGAATATTTAATTAAACCACACTTTATTATATATATTATATATCATTACATGAGAACTAGGCAGAGGTATACCCTAAAATAATAAGACAAGTATTTAACAATTCCTTGAGAACTCTAAAAATTTAAAAACATCTTAATACCACAGATTGGTGTCAACAGACTTTATACAATGTTAAATTAATAGTTCATTGCATAACTTACTATAGAATTAAAGTTTCTCATCATGAAGTAAGATTTTTGTGTAATATATTATATAATCTATTTACTATTAACTAAAGAAATTAGCTTATAAAATAGATAACATTTAAATTCAAATGAAAAAGTATTTAGAATAAAATAAAATATCTGCATTTCATGTTTAATTATTGGATTTAAAAAAAAATTGTTTACCTTTGTACTTTCTGTTTCTGTGCATTCCATATCAGTAAATTTATAGCAGAGAAGTATATTCAAAATTTTGCTCTAACCAGTGAACACCTATTATTTATATTTAAATATATAAAAAATATAAGCATGTACTTTAAGAATCTGTATATGATAAATAAAAACAATATTGCTGCTTAGTTAATTATTTAAAAATGGTAACTAGCATATAAAACAGGTATGACTAAATTAAATTAAAATTTAGAGTACCATAAAATATCTGATGTCATATATAAATTAGGTTTTAAAAAAATTGTTTACCTTTATCTCTTATGCTGTACCTCCTATATCAGTAAATTTATAGCAGAGAAGTAGAATCAAAATTTTGCTCTAACCAGTGAACACCTATTATTTAAATTTAATATATAAAAAATATAAGCATGTACTTTAAGAATCTGTATATGCTAAATAAAAACAATATTGCTGCTTAGTTAATTATTTAAAAATGGTAACTAGCTTATAAAACAGGTATGACTAAATTAAATAAAAATTTAGAGTACCATAAAATATCTGATGTCATATATAAATTAGGTTTTAAAAAAATTGCTTACCTTTATCTCTTATGCTGTACCTCTTATATCAGTAAATTTATAGCAGAGAAGTAGAATCAAAATATTGCTCTAACCAGTGAACACCTATTATTTAAATTTAATATATAAAAAATATAAGCATGTACTTTAAGAATCTGTATATGATAAATAAAAACAATATTGCTGCTTAGTTAATTATTTAAAAATGGTAACTAGCATATAAAACAGGTATGACTAAATTAAATTAAAATTTAGAGTACCATAAAATATCTGATGTCATATATAAATTAGGTTTTAAAAAAATTGTTTACCTCTATCTCTTATGCTGTACCTCCTATATCAGTAAATTTATAGCAGAGAAGTAGAATCAAAATATGGATGATTTTAAATATCGCGGGTACATAAAATAAAAATATTAAATGAATGTGCGATATTTAGTTTTTTCACAAAATATCGCGTGTTATGTTTAGTTTTTTCACTAAATATCACAGGTGTTATGTTTAGTTTTTTCACTAAATATCACAGGTGTTATATACAGTCATGGCCATTTAAGGCTGCATTCATAGTGGAGACGGATCCCATTTTTACATCCGTTCCGTCAAAAGTCAATCTCATTAAAAATGATATATATGTTCATAGTGCGTCCGTTCCGATACCTTACGTCTTAAAAACGGATCCGGCAAATTTTGAAGTCAAAACATTTTGAATTTTTTATCCGGCAAATCTTATAGAGCGTTATAACGCTACTTACAATTTTTTTATAGTCTATGAACATTTATATCATTTTTAATGAGTTTGACTTTTGACGGAACGGATGTAAAAACGGATCCGTCTCCACTATGAATGCAGCCTAACTTATTCAAATTTTTAGTTTTGCTTTTCGTTTTATAACTTAACCTTTTAATTTTATATTCTAATTTTTGTTTGTAAAAAATATATAAATACAAGATTAAAAAAGTAATAAAGTGAACAATTTTTTATTAGTTCCAACCTCTCTTCTTCATGGTGCCCCGGCTCTGGGTGGATTCTTGTTCAATATCTAACCTAATGTGATGACCAACATCTAACCTAATGTGATGACCTACACCTTACCTAATGTGATGACCAATATCTAACCTAATGTGATGACCAACACCTAACCTAATATGATGACCAATATCTAACCTAATGTGATGGCCAACACCTAACCTAATATGATGACCAATATCTAAGTGATGACCTACACCTAACCTATGTTATGACCAACACCTAACCTTGACCAATATCTAACCTAATGTGATGACCAATATCTAACCCAATGTGATGACCAATATATAACTACGTGATGCCTAGAACCAATATCGAAGTTGGACGATAGGCTATGAATTCTATATAGTGAATGATGATTTACAAATAATTCTAAATCCACGTAATAAAACAATTTATTATAAATTAAAATTCTATGCCGAGATAAAGTCATAACTTATGGTATGAATTAACTTAATAAAAATAACTTAAATGTAAATCAATCATAATGGACATATTTGAATACATAAAAAGCCTTAAAAAAATATTTACTTAATAATAAATAAACAGTTGAATTTCTTAGTGAAATGCCTATTGATATTATATTTCTGAATTATGACCAATTATGGAAATTAACTGAATTACCTAAAGATGAATTCTTAGGTATAATTAATATATTACAAAGTTAAACCATTAAAAATCCTGAACAAGAAAATAAAACTATAATTTTAAGTCTATATCAAAATGTAATTGAAACATATGAATTAAAAGATATAAATCACATGATTGAATTTAAAAAAATATTTGTGATTAAAAAAGTTAATAATGCAAATTTTGGAAAATTATAAAATTAAAATAACTCTTATAAGTAATACTTAATGTGATAAAAAGTTTTTGAAATTTAAAGCTTTGAAGACAAATAAAAGTATTATAAAGAGAAGTTTTGTAAAAACTAAACATCTTCATTTTAGAAAAATATTTAAAGATGTGAGGAGGATATCATTTTCTGAAAATTATCTTATGAAGTATTATTATTTTAAACACTTTTTGAATTAAAACTAGGGTGTGAAATTTAAATTTTTTTTAAAGAGAGGGAAATGTGCATGATATTTATTTGCATAAATATTAATATATAAATAAAAATAAATTAAACACCTAAAACGCAAAAATGAAAATGCTAAAAATATTACATAACAATCTTATTGATTTATCATTCTTCGTGTATTCTAATATCCAACTTGATGAATTATTATTTCTAATTATATTTGACTGACTATAATAACAATTTTGAAAATTGATAATAATGACTGAGTACCACAAGCAAGCTTATGACAAAATCATGATTCATGAGAAAACTCTCGATAAGGATAACAAGCTTACGATTAAAACAAATCAACGTGCAAACACAAACGATTGGGACAAGCCAACGATTAAGATGACTTATGCAACAACTTGACAACAAAAACGATAAACCATTTGGACGACAAGCTCTCTATGCCAGCCAATGACATATAATAATACCTAGACTGACGATTCATTCATTAAAATGCCTTTTTAAGCACGTATAAATGCAAATCAGCTGGAGACGCCATAAATACCATATTTGTTACATCGATGATAATTTGCTCAATAGCATATTTGAATTTGTTAAGTAAATATTTTAATCAATATACTATGGTTATATTAATATGAATTATTTTCCCATAGTTAGTTTTTATTACCATGATCTGTTAAATTTTATATTTAATTTGCTACTTATTTAATTTTATTAATCAAACATTTTATTTTATCTAAAGCATTATATCTATTTTCTAATTTATAATAAACTATTTCTTGTAATGATACAACATTTAATCTTATTAGAGGCTTTAGTATCTTGAAAAATTATTGATTTTCATCATATAATTAATATGTCCATTCTTCTAAAAATAAAGAGATAAGAGTAAGCTAAATTGATCTAAAATTAAGGTCATTTTTTATAAATGAGGTCTTAAAATATTTTATTTTTATTAATCTTTATTTTATCTGTTTGAAAAAAAATATATTAATGATAATTGTTTTATTGATAAAATAAACTGGATAATATAATGTAAGGAAGAACAAGTTGTATGCGATATATCTCTTGTTTGCAATACAGAATTTATCCTAAGAAATATAGTAAATCAATAATAAATATAATAAACATAAAAAATTGAATATTACAAAATGGAATGATAAAAACTTATTAAAAATAATAAATAAAATAAAACTAATTGGAAAAAATAAATACCAAGAGATCAAGATTTTACATGGGTAAGGATATCCTAATAAAAGTAAAAATGGTTTAAATTTTCTCCATAACTGCGATATGGTTGCTAAATGTTAAATAGTTAATAAGATTCAATTTAACTCCTTAAAATATTAAATTCATAAGTATTTCATTTCTTTAATCATAATAAATATTATGAATAATATAAAAATCATTTTGAATTGGACTTTAAGAAGATTAAACAAAATACTATAATACTTTAATAAATACTACATATTTATTTATAATATGTAAAAAAAAATGTTATATTATTAAGAATGTATCTGAAGCTAAGCATTTATTTTTATATTATAAATATTATTGTAAAATCATAATTTATCCAGAATATTTGAAAGGATATTTTAATTGATTTCCTTAATTTTGCATGAATTTCTGCTTAATACATCAGAATAGCCATGAGGATATTTTAATTGATTCCCTTAATTTTGCATGAATTTCTGCTAAATAGTTAAGAATATCCATGGAATATTTTATAGGATATTATAATTGATATTCATTATATTTTTTTATATTATAAATTTTATCATCGATGTAACCAACATGGCGTCAATGGCGTCTCCAGCTGATTTGCATTCATACGTACTTTAATGAATGAATCGTCAGTCTAGGTATTATAAAATGTCATTGATGCCAGCTTAAATGAAATTATGGGAAAGCTTTTTAGAAGAGGGAGAATGTTATATTATAGGAATTATAAATTAAAATATTATATATTTGGTTATTAAATAGTAATATGTTTAAGATAAGAATACATGGTGCAAAACAATTCAACATGAGTTTCAGCTCTACCCCCTCAGATTTTTACTGAGTTTGCATATATTATAATTAAGAAAAGAATCCAACTCCGAACAGCGCCTGAGATAAGTGTCGAAAAATGGGGCACTTTGAGCAAAATGCACTTCCTTTAGTATTAGATATCTTTGATATAATTGAGCTGTGAAGTTTATTTTTTAAGGCAAATGTGTAAAAATATATTTTGCAAACATGTTAAATTAAAATTTAGTGAAGATCTACCATAGGAAAGTGACAACTGTCATAATCGTAACTTTTTTGAACTTTTTACGATTTTTATTAGACAAATGGGTAGCAAACATGTTAAAATAAAATTTCATTGAAGATGTCCCATAGGAAAGTGTCAATTATCATAATCGTCATTTTTTGAACTTTTTTGAATTTTTTAGACAAATGGGTAAAAATATATTTTGTAAACATGTTAAATTAAAATTTCAGTGAAGATGTACCATAGGAAAGTGATAATTGTCATAATCGTCATTTTTGAACTTTTTTCAATTTTTTTAAGGCAAATGGGTAAAAATATATTTTGTGAACAAGTTAAATTAAAATTTCATTGAAGATGTACCTTGAAAGTGACAATTGTCATAATCGTCATTTTTGAACTTTTTTCAATTTTTTTAAGGCAAATGGGTAAAAATATATTTTGTAAACATGTTAAATTAAAATTTCAGTGAAGATGTCACTATAGAAAAGACAATTGTCATAAT